AATAATAATAAATAATAGCTGATTATAATCCCATCCCCTATCACAGATCCTGACAAGGGTTTCCAAAGCACTGAACATAATCATAGTGGCACAACAAACAAAATCACATCATTTCATGAAATGTCTCTATTAATCTGAACTATGCATATCAATATTAAGGGATCTGTAACCACAAGGAACAGATAAATATCACATAAGGTTTTTGACAGCTCTTTTATTTACTTTTCTGAGTCCTGAGCTGCATCCATTAGTTGCAAAGAAGGCTGTGCCCTTCCCTCAACATAAGGGGTTGCCAGTTCTATCATCTTTCAGCTGTAGATAATAAAATTAACATTACTGAGACATAAAGCACTTTCAACATTTAAGATGCAGTATTCTTTTTGAGTCATTGGGTTTTATTCTTAACATTTATTTCACTCTTTAAATTACAATTGCCTTCTTGTTAATTAATTTCAAATTGCCTAATCACACCTTCCAAAAGAACTTCTGTTGTACTGATTCTTTCCATATCTCTGTTGTATCCATATGTTCATTTTTGTGGTCATGTGGTATATAAACTGGCGGGAGCACTCCCATTGTTTTTAACTCTATCAATTTCTTTATTTCTGTTTGAACCATTATAGCAGACTACACTGCTCTTAATTTTCTACTGATTCATTTTCTCTACTGTTCCTTGGAGCAAACAGGCCCCTCCCTTGTCCTTTTTTAAAATATAAAAAATGATACATGTACAGCAATAGCACGACGAGAGGTCCGAGCCTTCTCTCCTCCCCTTTTCCCTTCTCTTTTACTCCCTTTACCTGATCCCTTTGCAAGGGTTAAAAAGAGAGAGAGGAGAAACAGGATTTGCCTCTGTTCAAGTCTTCTTTCATAGGGAGGGGGGAAGCCTGCCTCCTTTGAGCTGTCTCCTGCTGTTTTTCCTAGCAGCAGTTATTTGCCTATCTAAGGGATCGCCTGTCTCATTACAAGCCAATTTGTCAATATACCTTTAAAATATTTTTTTAAAAAGGGTACAAGTGCAGTGGCCACTAAGTGACCACAGCACCCAGCATGACCCCTTTGCAAAGGAAACTAGTCAGTAGCAATGTTCATATAGGCTGAAATAGTAAGGAATGAAGTGATTCATCATTGGTACAAAACAACCCTCCCAGTGAGGGGAAAATTAACTGCAAATTAACTGCAGACCCATGGCCAGGAAAATGAGTCAATCATGGCCTTGCATTGTGTGCTTGGGAACTTATGAAACAATCTGAAAAACAGCCAAATCAGTATAACTGAGGTTCATTTGACAGGTGTAATCAGACCCTCATTTTCATTATTCTGTATCCTGCTCGCCCTATCTTTCTTTGTTTCTCTTGCTCCATCTATATTTTGGGGTGGCAGATCTTGTAGCACCAGAACTGGTGGTATTCACTGGCTTATGGTGAACAGCATCCTGTCACCTTTATCCTATTGATAACTGTGAGTTTTGTTGGAGTTTTTATCACCTGGTATGCTGCTTGTGGTTTGAGTGATTGGGAAGGATTTTTTGGGCTGAGGTGGCTGTCATTCTATCCGGCACTAACCAATCATTCCCTCCTGCCTCTGAACTCAAAGAGAGCCTTGCCTCTCATCTAAGTTTTCTCTTTTCCCTCTCTTCAGTCTGCTGAAGCAGTGTTTGTTGGTAGTATTGCTGTTGATCAGTTCACAACTGTTAAGTAATGCTTAATTAATAATGCTTAATAAAAGTTTTTATTCTTTCTCCTACTCAGAGTGAATTACTGAGACCCTCAAATGCCAGTTAATGAGAAAGGGTTGGACTATATGGGAAACTTGTGGCTATACTCCCATGTGAATCTCTATACTTCTACTGCATAGCACAAAGAAATTTTACCAGAAACAAGTTTTCCTATTCCAAAGCTCATGACTTCCCTAGTTTCCTTTTTGCTGAGCCAAGCTTTCAAATAGACACTTGGAACAGAGGAAGAGTTCAAGACTAAGAGCAGAAGACACTTTGTTGATGGAAAATATATGCAGAGTTTCAATAGGATATTTTAGGGATTTTGCCATGAAGCACTTTAACTAGTTTTAGCTTCAGCAGTCACTAAATAGCATGCCAAACAAAGAGATGTGAGTGGAAGGGAAACTGGTATCTGCAGGCACTTGTCCTTCCTCTATGATCCTGATGTGTTAGTTAAAAGCCCCAAACAGACCAAAACAAAAGCGACCACTGCAAATGGAATGTGTTCCATAAATATCCAGCATCTTGAGGGAGCCATTTATCAAATCTGACAGGGATATACACATAAAGGCTTTTACTGATTATTTTTTTAAGGCCATCCACTTATCTAAGAATTCCAATTTCAGCACATGTTCAGGGATAGTTCAGTCATCCATTTTTATTATTTACACTATGAATTTGCAAGAGGAATTTGGAGAGAAAGTTTACCAGGCATCAGGTCAAGTCGATGAAGACAACAGAAAAGAGTTTCATCTGATTTGTCTTTTCTTTCTTTCTTTCTTTTTTGGTTCAAAGTCTGGAACTTTTTCTCTGGTCATATGGGGCAGAACTGTATTTCTTTGGGACATTAAAGAATATAAAATAGCTGGGGGAGAGAGACACTGAAGGGCCTTAGGACTAGTCCAAGAAATGTTGCTACCTGACACAGAAGAGAAAATGTTAGCACCACCTTCCTGCCCCCAGATCAAATTCCAGAGTATCCAGCAACAGACAGGTTATTTCAGCATCTGATGAAGAAAATCTTACAAGTATCTCTGCTTGTGTCTAAAAATACAGGAATAATAAATTAAATAACTAGCTTTTTAAAGAAATGCTGTTTTAAAATGATGAAGCAAACCACCAACTGGGAGGGTGAAGGAAGGAAACTTGATCATCAGTCCTTGTAGCCTGCAGTATTTCTTTGAGATGTAGTGGAGAATAAAGGAAACACAGATAATCAAATGGGGATTTTCAGGTGACAGTAGATTCAAACTTTTCCCAAAATGGTCTTCAGATAGCCTTGTTCTTATTGTGCGGGACTTCTAAGATGGAGGACCAAATATATCTAACGGTCCAGCTTCCAATAAGTCTACTGGTGCCTTTAGTGAAATCTAATACTAGTGTATCACCTGATGCACCCTATTTGATTTTGGCACAGCTTCAGTTATATCTCAGGACACCGTGCAGACCATAAGGACTTAAGATCAAGTCTTCCCCTGTTCCTTTTGCTTATTTTTGTGCCGTCTTCCCCTAAGAAGGAAATTTGTGATCTCAAAAGCTTGAACACTTTGTGGTGCCT